CATCTTGAAGCTGTCAGGTTTAATTGCACTACCTAAATGTCCCTTACAGTTGCCAACGAAATCAGCCAATTATCTTTATTTTGAGGCGATTAACCAACTAGATACCAGTGGACGCCAAAACTGGTCTATATAAACAGCATAGGATTGACCAAAAACATACTGGATCCGTGAGTCTTTTCCGTAATGCCGACGCTTCCGCGGTTAATCATGCTTAAGACAATTATGCTGCTGATCATTGTCGCTTTTGGCAAGTTTTGCGATCCCCTTGCGATTCCTATGAGATTTAACCATATTGTAAATTTTGGTTGAAGCTGAATAAACATTTGAAACTCTATCCAAGTAACTGTCTGAAACATTTTCTGTTCATGATAAGCCTATGATAAATCTAAATACTCCGGCCTTTTTGATTGTCAACATTTATGTGTGGTTTACTCACCCTTACTTTTAGCACAAGAGAACGAATCACCATCCTATGATCTGTGCAAAAGGGACAATAAAGAATGCAGACTTGTGGAGTACAGAGCGGAAGATACAACCAAGGGCAAAGGCTGTCGTGACGCGTGTGGAAAGCGACGAGGTTTGCGCTATCTAACTGCCTTTTCTTCTACTATGACTCCAATTAAGGCTGCTTATTCTTTAATTATTCAAAAGACTCCTGTTCAAAGTCGTTGATATTGCGAGTGAATAAGTCCTCCTTGTCCTTAGGGGATCTAAGCGAGAACATGACAGTATACTTCTGCGAAGAACGGCACAAGCCTTGCAAGCCATACGAAGTTTACGGACGAAAGGGATACGCGAAGAACTTTGAGAGACACGCCATGTGTGTCCAAACATGTCACTTTGTCGCGAAAGGTAAACTGGCTACTTTTCCCTTCAGTCCTTTCTGCGGTTTCCTCCTGCTGCCCTTCCAAGCCTTCTTCAGTGCCTCTGCATAAGCTGCATCGTTTAATCTAAAGAATGGACAGTCAGTACTCGTATGCAAATGCTTTTTGTTTTTTAGTTGAACACAGCCCTGACGATCACTTCGAAATGTGTTCGGACAACATGGATAAATGTATTGATATAAAGCGGATAAATGGGACCTTTGATGCCTTCAGTAAATGCGCGTTTAAATGCGATGGTTGGCCAAAACGTGAGCTGCTATATTTTCACTGAGATTTCCGCGGCAGCTCACATACAATGCCTTGCCGTTGTTTCAGACTGTTTTTTTACTTTAAGTGGAAAACACTTTGGAGGGCTCAACAGTCTTCTGTCCTAACGAAGGCGTTTGTGTAACCGCGAAATACTTCAGACGTCCAAAAGGTGGAAATGCGTTCGTTGGTCTGAAAAGATGCATCAGAAAGTGCATGTCAGGTGATGTCAGATATTCAGTTTTCAAAAGCACACCATATTTTATGACTTTAATTGGAAATGAAATGTTGCACATCATTGAGCGGCAGTCCCTACCAAATAGTAAACATATATTTCACTCGTAGAGAATATCCGCAATTATTAGCTTTGCGAAATTTCATTGGTTTATTTGGATTATAACAATGATTACCTTGAATTTTAGCGAGAATAAACCTACAGAGTTGTATTCAAGTAGTACACTTTACAGAAGACTGTTCCTTAATTGATGGCTGACTCGTTCATACACGAATATCTCGTAGATATATGTGGAATATCTCATAACCTTTGCTCCATCATTTGCGCTATACGTGTCTTCATATGCTGCCTGAATGTTTTGGTAGCATTCCCTTCACGCTGTTAATGGCCGTGAAATTTATATTCAAATCCACCAAATAGCTAATGCTATATTTTTTTCATTCTAGAATAAGCGTTTACAACAAACCTTGGTTGGTGGGAGTTTTTTTACCTTTTCCTGCATTGCGGTGATTTGGAAGTTTACGAAAATTTCAAATTAATGGTTTGGGTGTTGCAATGAAACGATACTGTGTACATATGGCTCGGTCTTTTTTATTTATAAGCATAGGTAAACCCGCCGATTAGTGCAGTTCAAATCTGCATAAGTAATTCCAGGTTCCGGCATTCGATGTGTGGGTTCAACTAAAAAGTGATTTACTCGTAGAAAAGACTGATGACATTATTATTTCTACACATGGGTACGAATTTTTATGAATCCGGAACAACTAACTAGCACCAGTAATACTGGTTGACATCCGCTTACTATGTAGTTTTTGGAACTGAAGCAACCGCCGAGTGTCGATTGACAATCTATTTTATTGGTACATTATTGGCCGATAATGATGGTCGATCGACTTGTCACTAAGCTCGTATTCCAACTTTCCTGCAAACATCTCCCTCTCGACAGTTGCACTGCCCAGTACTTGCTTCCGAATGCTTATCATGAGCCAGCGGATAGTATACGTGTTGGGAATCGAAGGATGCTAAAATTATTATCGTTGATAGCCGCAGAAACATTAGGCAATCTCAAGAATTTGAGATCTCATCTGACACACTTGTGAAACAACCTGGTTGCCTCAGTGGAAATCGAACCCACGACAGCAATTTCATGCTCGAGTACATCCAAAGTTATGGGAAAGTGAGCTGCGTGACCTGGTTGGAAGCTGAGATTTGATCACATTGGTGTCGGAGTGTTCCGCTCAAACTGCTGTCACACATGAAATTGAATAAGCGTAATACAGGTTTTTATAAGCGATCAAACTAGAATCCACCAGGTGATTGCAAGGTCTCCGTCTCTGTTGGATGATTTTGTGAGTTTCGAATGGTTTACTTGACTTATGACTTCCGGTGAGCTGTACTCAAACTCTTAAACTGAGGTCGTGGGTTTGAATCTCAAAAACGTTACCAATGATTGCTAATGTGAAAATTGGATGCAAGTGTTAATTTGCGCTTTGAGATAGAATACCCTGTAGACACTTGGATGACTTCAGCACCCGTCCGGGTATGTATCGGGTGGATATGAGAAAGACGTTTCAATAATGATGGACGGAAATATAAAGGCCAGTGCTGAGTAATTTAGACTTGATCCAACAGGCCTGGCACGTAGTATGAAACGCGTCGTCGGATACATGAACGAACGCAGGTATTCAGGGGGCGCTACCCGTGAGTTGTGATACGACTTCGCGCAACCTCTGTCCCTGAGGAGAAACACAATTTGTGTAAAACTCTCAGCGGCTTAAATTCATATTTTTTCCGAGTGGCATAGAACCATTAATGTTGGGACATGAAACTAGTCGTAGACCTTGGCACTGCCAAGTGCGAGCGAGGAATGCAGTTAGAGGCTGAACGTAGACTGACCGAACGAAGAACAGCTGCCTACTGTTCTTGCAGTGAGTTGCCTCGAAGAATGAAAGCGACTTCGTAAAAGCATCACCAAACGCAAAGTCCAGGAACACTGCCTGCATAATTAAGTAATTTTTAATCCGACTACTCACTCATAAATAGTACCGAGAGAGCAGCTTTTATCATTGCACATTCACATAGCGCCACATCGCGCTATGCAGTCGAGCGAAGTTCTACAAGAAGTGGACGGTCTCTCTGTTTATGTAGTGACCACAGGAATTAGAGACGTGTTTTTAAGCATTGTTGGATGATGCACAGCCGGGATGTGATGCGATGAACACTGCCGTGCAACATTGCATGAATAAAAACTGTCGCATGCGCATCGAGCATAATCGTTGCGCACGTTCATAATGCTACCACTCTTAGCGATACTACCACAGTAACCTCTGTCGGAACTAAACTAGACGAATTCACACGTAAGTAAAGCATATTTCATCTGTTCCCAGAGTCTGATTAACAGCATTTGGCAGTTTTCGACTCATGGCAGTTGATATACACCGTAGAACAAACATATATAAAACGCACAGTTATATACCTGTACAGTGGAAATTCCCCCGAGGAAGTAAATACACAGTTTTGAATGTGGGCGAAAGGAGGAACCATTGACAACCTTCACGCGAGATTGTTTGGGTTGTCGTTTGCGTCAGTTTATATGAAATAAAAATAAAACAGTTCCCAGTTACAGCCGCAGAAACAGTCCTACTGTTTCAAACAAAGCGCATTCTTTGCTAACAGTTCGAACATTCATTCGACGCCCAATAAACAGATTTCGGCCAAAGTAATCTCAGTTGAGAGTGAGATTGACAGGCATTTATGACGTCTGAAATGGTTGTTGGACGGCATTCCTAAACGAAGGATCAATAGAGGAGGATCAATGGAAGTTGAAAGAAGTTGAAATTTGCGCATATGCATAATGAATTATGTAACCGATAATCCAAAAGTAATAGGCACAATATGAGGTCTGACGGATATTAAACCTTGTAAGATTCATAACAAGGATTCTCGCTGCCCACAGTTCAAAAGTAGCAAAAAGCGACAAGACCGAACACATTAGGGAAAATATTTTACGAGAACAACTCGAATTTACAAAGAAACTTCAATAAAAAAATATATACGCATAGATGCAATAATCCTCATCTCAGGTGTTAAGATGGAAGAGGAAGATAAGACGATCTTTAGGGAAGACGTTTTAGTCATCTGACGTTTCGTACTCATCCTCGAGCCCATCATCGGGGATAGAGCAAGTAAACAATGCAGGGTTTCAATAGGTCATCTACGCTCGCCTCCAATAGGTTTGTCCCGTGCACTTCTGATTGGCCATCCTCTCGCGCGTAAATGATGACTGACGGCCTCCTATGGCGCTAGTAAATCAATACTGCGGTTGATCGAGTTGGCGTTTGATTTACAGGCCTCGATTACTTCCCTCGCCAGTTTGTTTTCGGCCCGGCCGAGCACTTGGGCGCCGTCAAAGTCGAACTTGTGATTATTTTCCAGACAGTGCATGGCGACATGCAAACGTACATCGTTTTGCCTTACGGCCAGAGTATGCTCATGCATGCGCGCTCTTAGGCATTTGTCGGTCATGCCACAGTAGTTGGCTGGATAGTCCAGACACTAGACGCGGTAAATGACATCTGAGGAGTCTGCGGGTGGTAGCCGGTCTTTTGGTTGCATAATTAGGCGGCGGATGGTGGCTTCCTGCCGGTGTCCAATGCCTTGCTTAGCGGTCCTAGCATCCGCTCAGTGGCTTCGGAGACGTCACTCCCGTAGGGTAAAACACGGAAGATTTCCTGTCTTTGTTTCCTCTCACTGTCGGTCTTCGTGTGTCTTCGGTACAGGCATTTGTTTACCTTTCCTTGCCTCATCCTTCATTTCGGTGAGCTTTTCCTACTTTTTGGCGTCAGACTCATTGGGTTGCCCCCCTACACGGAAGTCTTCAGCTAAAAAGGCTACACATTTATCCTAGGGGGGGGGTTATGATTCACATTGCTTCTCATTATGCTTTCAATTGCTTGCGCGCTTAGTATTACTTGCATCAGATTAATTGCACAGGTTCTATCTTAGGCCGATTAAACGCGGGTCTCCCTTTCGTCGGCTTGGCTTCGTCCTTGCGTCTTTTTATTCCGGACCTTCAGTGCGTTATGGCGTGATCGTGTACGGCAGGGCCACCGGCGCGGAGACAGTTTGTCTGCCGATACTCTACCCATTGCATACGTCGTATTGGCAGAACGTTGGCCTCCACACTCCGCCTTTGCGAACAGCCCGCTTGTATTTCAGTTCTTATTATCTCTGAGAGTGCACGCAATGAGGCCCTGTCTGGATGACTTCCTTGGTCCGAGAACGAGGCGGTGCACACATGTCTATATAGGCTCATTGTATTGCACCACCACACTGAAGTCCTTAGTGAAAGGCGAGAGATTTATCCCAGGGGGGGTTATGATTCTTACTGCCTCTCTTTATGCTTCTAACTGCATGCGCGCATAGTATTAGCTCTATCAGATAAATTGCATAGGTTCCATCGTAGGCGGATTGACACGAGTCTCCGTACCCTTGGTTGGCCTCGGTCCTCGTATCTTCTTATTCCAGGACCTGCGGTGAAGCCCGACGTGATCCTGCACGAAAGGGCAACCAGCGTGCAGACAGGGTACCTGCCGATAGTCTACCCACTGCATCAGTCGCCTTGACAAGCTGTTGCCATCCGCCCCCCACTCCCCGCCTTTATAGACAATCGGGTTATACTTCGTCTAAGGAGTTTGGCTGAAAACAGCGACGCCATGTAAACACCGCCATGGCCACTTAGCAATCGTTTTCTTTACTTCCAGTTAAAGGCACTTCAACCCCCGACCCCCCCCCCGCGTTTTAACAGTTTTGGGTTTGAACTGGACGCACTTCACCTACCACATAGCGCTCTTACTACCTTCTGCGTTCAGACTAAAACAGCAAGGCTTCCCGTACGCCAGTCAGACCGGGGGTGTTTACCTTCCGTCCGTGCGATCAGCGTCGGCTGGCGTTTAGTCCGTTAGCGATCATTTGGGGGGTTGCCTGCGGTTTTTTCTATAGCGTCCAACCTTTTTCCAGTACCCCCTTTTTGGATGGATTCTTTCAATCGGGCTCCAGCTCTGCAGGCGGTCCACCAACTTAGCAAACACGTTCTCATTCCATTTGTACTCGCACTTGTACCCCTCAATCAGTTGAACAGGCATAGGAAAGAAGGCCAGCAATTAAAATAGGAATGATTTCACTATTGCCAGAAAAGAAGATAGTTGAGATATCACTTGGATTTCATTGACTTCATTTCTCTACGTGTTTCCTTTACGGCTGTCCTTTCTTTAGGCCCTGAGCTGGGGCAGCAATCATTGCGCCTGTATTTACCTACCATGATGAGTTATGTCATCAGTACCGATGCTTACCTCTGCGTGAGTTGCATTTCATCCTCCGCTGAAGCAGTTCGGTCGCCAACAGGGTAGGCCTCCGCTTTATGTTTCAGGAACATTTCCCATGCCTGAGGCA